GGAGCAGGTATAGTGAATCCCAAGGTAGGAATCTGTTATGCCTTCTCCGTCTTCCTCATCTCCTGACATGATGGTGACAGTGGAGGGAGATGCAAGAGAAGCGGAGTACATGAAACCAAACTGCTTTTCTGAGGAGTTGGTTTCTCTGATTTTAAGCAGATGTCCTAGAATAGCCTTTTCTATTTTTTTATGTTATCCTTATGTCTTTCTCTAAAAGCCATAGTATGGATAGGGCAGTAAGGAGCTAGGAAAATTCCAAGGCAAGTGGAATAGGGAAACTGAGACAGGAAAGTTAAAACAAGGCCAAACGGTGTGGGCAATTTGCAGCCACCTTGTAAATAACAAGCTATTTTCCTCCCCAGCCAAGGGCACTGGAGAGCAAATGGTTAAAAACCTAAAAACCTCCCTAACAAGAGAATGCAAGAATGGATGTGGGGAAGCAGAAAGGAAAAAAGGGGCAATTTTACTCCCTAAGCAGAAAAGCCAGCAGTCTCAAGGCTTGGCATACTACAATTGCGAGGCGCTTCTCATGAACTCTGGGAAGGCCACAACAAAGTAAAAGAAAGCTTGAGAATTAATCTGTACCAAAATATTCAGCAAAGGAATTTTGAGACCTATAGACCACAGGATATATAACACCTTGGAACCCCACCCAACTCGCTATTCAGATTAGCTGAGAGCCCATCTGTGCTGCTTCATAAGCCAGATATATAGATTTGCTTGCCTTGCTTCTTTAATAAAGGTGCATGCTTTAATTGCTTTAATAAAATTGACTTAATCACAACGCAATCAAGGTCTCTCATATAAACTCATTTATAGGAGCAGACAAGGGTCGAGGTTGGGGACAACCCTCTCCCACTGACTCAGGGCACTATCTGGTAACACCTCTCTGGTGTTGGTGACACAGAGAGGTATTATTTGTAGCATTGGGGTTGTGTGGGTGGGTTGTTGTAGGATGAGGCATGAAAGAAAACAGCAAATGGTCATGGTAAAGGGCAATTAGCAAAGGGTACAGAAGTTAGTCTGGTGGGGAAAACAGAAATGTTCTAGGTGCTGCTCTTGCTATCTCTACATCTCAAGCTTAGCTTCTACTTTGCCAGAGCTTCCTTCCTCAGGCTGAATGGAATTTTACCTGTGGGACCAGCTCCTTGTGTGGAGATTTTATGAAAGATGCTGATTTGGAACCTATATATAAGAATGTCCTTATCAAAAACAAATGCAAAGGGAAATTAATGCATTCACACACAAAAGGGGCCAAGCTTCCAAAGCTAAAGATAAGAAAGAACAAAGCAACTGACTAATAAAAAATTTAAGTCTGGTTTTGTTGTTTGGGTTTGATTGCTTTTAAATGATGGTCAATGATAAAAAAAAAAAAAAAAAATGACACCTTTGGTTGCACTTTTACCATAATAAAATAAAAAGCAAAGATCATAAATATAAAAGAGTATTTTATATTTATTGTCAATAAAAGCCAAGAGTAAATTTAGAGTGGTTTGCAAACTTTCTCATTGAACCACAATGTATGGAAATTTGCTTTGAAAGACTGTAATATTTATAAATTTTACCACATAGTAAAACAAATTACAGAAAAATATTGCAAAGTACCAAAAGATATTACAGAGAAAGTAAAAATTATCCAAATCCCATGACCCAAACATTGCTATAGCACTATTTTTTTCCCTTATCTGTCTGATCCTGTGTTTTCTCCCCACTTCAATGAGATCTCCATGAGGCCAAGGGTGCTAGTATTATTGTGTCCTCAGGCATTCTTACAAGTGAACTAAGCACAAATTATTACTGGTAACAGAGACATTAGAGATGCCAATAATTGTATTCTATTGTAATTATAGCCTCAGGAGGTAGTGAGGGACAGAGAGGCAGTTTGTCCCTCCAATACATAGCCCGCAGCTCTCAGTTTTCTCATACCTTGTATCTGCTTTTGTCATTTTTATAAACCATTCTCAATTCCATTCCCACTCCTAGCCCCCACCCCCACCCTGAGCCGGTATTTCTAATATGACCTGTGCACAGATATTAGAAAGTAAAGCATGTAGCATCTAACTCCTTTGGCTAAAACCTTCTGCTGTTAGGAACAAAAGCCAGCCCCTAATCTGGACCCATCTCATCCACCCTCTCCCCCTTCTCTCCCTGCTGCCTCCACACTGACCAACTTTCCGTTCTCTAAGTGCTGTTTATTCCTACTCACCCTCCTTTAGTTAATTTCCATATATCCTTCAGATACCTTCAAATGTCACTTTGGGGGTGGGGAGTGCTTTCTTTGCTCCTCAAAATGGACAAGGTCACCCTGTATATGCTACATGCTCAGCTCCTTTCTTTCATAGGTTTGAACCAGGGTGCCATTTTACATTTATACCCCTGTGTGTTTGTGTGACGAGCGTCTGCCTCTTGCAAGTCTGGTTTTCCTGACGATTGTATTCCCAAGGCCCAGCATTTGTCGAAGTATCATCTACAAATACTTATTTTTAAATCCCAGTGTCAGGCATTATTGTAAATCCCAGCTAAAAAGCCTAGAAGCCCAGGAGGGCTTACCCAGGAGTGGCCTTAGGAATCAAGAACTGGGGTATTAGCCAAAGGGCCTCCTCTTCTTCTCCCTACTTCTCAACTGTGAAAACTGAAGTTCCCCAATGCAGGTAACTGAGACGATGCTATATTAAGATTTACTAATAAAAATGACTGCAGGATGTAATGCTCAAATTAATGATTTATTTATAAGATCATGGCACAAGCAACGAAAGTACTGTTTACTTGTGCGCAAAAAAAATTTCGTAAAATGGCCAGCTCTAAACGCACCGCTAGAGTAACGATTTGAACTGTTTTGCAAACTAACCCTTCCATTTGTGAGAATACTCACTGCCTAGGTCACATTCTTCTCCGGTTATATTTTAAATCGGCATTTTTAAGGAACATGTTTGCTTAGAGAACTAAACATCTTAAATCTCTTCAGAAAAGCTTTCCACACATGACGACTCTTATGATCTATATTCTGTGAGCAAGGCCACTGAGACACAGAGGCAGGTGAGTGACTTACAAAGGGCGCACTGCCGGAGGCCAAACCAGACGCACG